GTGGGGATCTGCTGAGGGGATAGTCCCTGAGATCCCCACTCCCCTCGGAAGGACCAGCCCCAGGAGAGCTGAGCAGCGGTGACAAGGTTGGCACTTCTCGGCGACAGCTTCCGAAGCCCTGGGGGCTGTTCTGCATTTGGAATATTGGGGCCTCATGACCTCTCCCTGTCGGGAGCCCTGAACCAGAGTGCGGGGCAAGACTTCATCCTTCCCACGCCCCTGCTGAGGCTTTGAGGACCTCTCACTGCAGGTTTATGGCCAGCTCCTCACCACAGACGCCGGGGAATGGATCTTAGCCTCTCTTCCTCCAAGAATAAACTCGTTTGCTTTGCATGGCTCTGGCCACACTCTCCTTGCTAGCAGCAGCAGGGTGGTGATTTCACAGTGCAGTCGTTTCTCATGGGACGGGTCCCTGGAAAGGGGGTTGTGGTTAGGGTAGAGCCATATTCTACTATCTCCAGGGCCTACCAGTTCATTGGGATGCAACACCATGCAGAAATCAAATGGGACTGTGGTCCTCAGAGCCTCAGGGAAGGGGACCTGTATCAGCATCCACTGGTCCCCACCTCTCTGCAGAGACATCAGAAATGCTGCTTCCCAGGGGTCAAGGTGTCCTCTGCCTAGCAAGCCTCTGGCAGCTGCCAGTGTTTGCCCTGGGAGAGCTGTCTCAGGTGGCACCTGGAGAAAGGATGGTCCAGTGGTTGGGGCTCTACTCTAGGACCCAGAAGACCTGGGTTCAGGTTCCTGTTTGGCCAGTTACTCCTAGGGCCGGTCCTGCCGTGTCTGTGGGCCAGTTCCCTGATGATCACTGGCCTGCCTACAGTGAGGGCGAATGCAGAAGCCTGAAAGAGCGTGAGGCACTCCACGCTGCGGTGACGGGGCCAGAGAAACAAGGAAAAGGTACCTGCTGCCATCCCTCAGGCAGGCTGGGATCCCCTGAGCCAGGGCCTGTCAAAGTCTCCCAGGGCTCTGCTGACACCACTCTGAAGAGACCGGGAGCCAGCCCCATCAGCAGCAGCGTGCCATGCGAGCAGAGCCGGCCTGGCCTGGCTGGGAAAGCCCAGGAGGAGCCGTAACTGGCATGCCGGGGCAGTGCAGCCAGTCAGCTGCAGGGACCTGAGTCACCCCACAAGAGTTGGGGGTCAGAGGTATGGCCAGGGAGCCATCACAGCTCCGAGAGCTGGAGCCCTGGGAGAACGTCCTGGAAGGAACGGGACCTGCTGGAAGTGAAGGGAGGCCCTGATCCAAGCCGCCCTCCCAGCTGAAGGCTCTGTGGGCACCTGAGCAGAGACGGCTCTGCGCACTCCTGGGACAAGGACAGAACAGAGCTTGTGCACCCTGCTGGGCTGCTACAACCAAAGACTTTACAGCTTCCCATCCAGCCATGCGGGGCCTTTCAGCATCGCTCGCTCCTTGCTCTCAGGGTGAAAGCAGTGCAGGCCGAGTGTCCCCTGGGCCCCCTGTCAGGGCAGTCGGTTTCTCCACACCGTGACACCCCAGAAGCCCAAGCACATCCTGGTGCCGCTGCACAGGATCTGTCCAGCCAGCAGTTCAAACTCCCGCTCCCCATCGTACCTGAGCCTCCCTGACTGACCACATTCTGCACTGCCCTTTGGCAACGGGGACAAGTCCCACCATGCTCCTTGGGCCAGGGACTGTCTGGGACACGTTTCTACAGAGCCCGGCACAACAGGGCCCCAGCCAGTACATCCCACCAGAGTCGCCAGTTCTCATGATTTTATTGTGGTTTCTGCAGTACTTGGTGCTTCTCCGAAAGCCCCAGCTCCTGGAGTCCAGTGAACATGGAGAATTGCAACTTTCCAAGGCCAGTCTTGGGGGCAGACTTGCGAACGCAGTGAGGGTACAGCCGTGTGCCTACACGCAGGGATTCTGCCCAACACTTTCCCCTGCCCTCCCGCCTGGCAGCCTGCCCGGGGGGAGAGGCACAGCACAGGAACCCAGCCACTATGGATCCACCCTGCCCTGATACTGCTTCTAAACGGTTGGGGGGGGGGGGTAGATCGGCTCTAGGAATAGTTGGGGGGCCTGCGTTACACCAGGGGTCAGACGAGATGGTCATGTGACCCTTCTTCCAGTCAGAGTTGGCAGCAACCAGGCCAGGTTCCATATCTAGTCCCTCTTCAACAGTACAACACAAAACCGTCTCCAGCCTGTCCCAGTGACCCGGGACAATTACACACACCCCCGGGCGCCTCAGAGAGGCAAAACTTCCCCTCTCACAAGCACAAAGGTCCCTGCTGGCCTTGGCATCTATGAACCTGTGGGAAGTGATGGTGCCAGGGCGGCTGGGCCTATGTTCATCCCGCAGCAGACACCTGGAGAGGGGCCGGGAAAGCCAGGCCCAGCACACAACCCCTGCAGTGGGGCCCGGGGACACAGCCAGCCCCACACGCGAGGGAGAAAGGGGAGCAAGGGGAAGGGATGGCCAGAACCCCCAGCTAACAGAAACAGGGGATTAAACAGCCCACGGGGACCTCAGGTCGAGCTCCACTTTGGTGGGGAGGAAAGGACTCAATGAGCAGGCCCCACCCCCAGGGGGCCATGATCTGGGTGTGCATCGTATCTGTCCCCCTTCCTACCCAGAGCCCGAGCCACGCTGGCCTCCCTGCCTTCACCCTGCTGTGCCAGAGCCAGCCGCAGACCCCTCCCCAGAGCCCGAGCCACGCTGGCCTCCCTGCCTTCACCCTGCTGTGCCAGAGCCAGCCGCAGACCCCTCCCCAGAGCCCGAGCCACGCTGGCCTCCCTGCCTTCACCCTGCTGTGCCAGAGCCAGCCGCAGACCCC